ATGTACAACCTTAAGGAGTTAATTTGAGTCATTTTGATGCAATTTCTGTACTCAAGAATTATTTAAATAATACTATAGTTTGTATGTAATGTAAGGAAAATAACTCAATTAAAAAGGGGATATTTTTTAATAATAATTCCCAAACATTTTGCATCATAAAAAATGGTATTCACGATACCGACAGATCAGCTTTTTTCAGTTATTTGTACTCTAATCATTGGATAGATAATTTTTTTAATAATTTCTAAACAGTTTACTTGTTTACTCTCTTTTGATTTATGGAATGGTTTTAATTTAACATGTACATAATACACACACATACATTACAGTGGATAGGTGTGGGTTTTAGTATGTTCGTGTAATTTTAATACAATTAGTGTTAATTCGATTAGTGCATGGTTTGCCACAGGAGATTTATTTAACATGATTTTTTGTTTTACTTCACATGTAAACGTAATCGCTTCAAATCATGGAAACATTTTTCATTTAATAAAATTGACCTTTAAAGAAGAAGTAAATTGGGCAATGAAGTTTAAAATTTTCCGCAATATTTCGTAGTTTACACATTACTAGTGGTTTTTAATACCAATTTTAGGAATATTCTAAGTTTATATTGAAAGCATCAAATAAATTCGACATTTTTGTTTTTTTGTTTTCAATGTAAAATTAGAAGGAAGTGTTCGCTGGCATTTTTAGAGGAACAGTCACTTTATCGAAACTGATAAGAAATGGAAGAGTTGCCAAAAAAAATGTAAAAAAATTACTCAAAACTGATTCAAAAATAAGTCTGACCTGATCAGAAGAGGGGCTTATAAAAGACTCATTTAGAAAAGTCGCGTATAGGGTACCATTTTCTCCCGACATTTATGATCAGAAAATAAGAGCATATATGATAATTTTAATCGTGCAGTTTAAAATTACAGAAAACAGTTTTATATCTTTTAAAATTTGCCTAAATTCATACTTCGATCACAATGATCTATTTGTGTTTGTTCATCATAATGTCAACAGTGGATAGCTTGGCTCATAGAGAATAATGCAGACAGAACTGATGAAACTAAAATTGACTAAGAGACATATTTATGTAGATTATCTTCTGTCTGTATTAGACATGTAGTTGCAATATCTTTTTTGGCGGGTATAAAAGTTTACACCCATTTTTCTGTCGAAATGTAATATTTACACATGTGAGCATTTCGTCCGTAAAAACGAAAAAACGAGTCTAAGAAAATTTATTCACAAGTTTTACTTTTCACCTAAATTTTAAAAATTTTAGAATTTTCCGTTTTAATTGACTGATTGATTAAGTATGTTTTTATTTATGCACATACATATCTACAAAAACATGTATGTATGAAACATGTATGTATACTAATAAACTTGCAGATATATTTTATTTCTTCAATATTTCATTTTATCCAATATATAAACAATAGTAAGCATTTTATCTGTAATCTGTGTTTTAGATTAAAGACACAGCTTTAATAAGCTTAAATATACTTTTTTACGAGAAAGAGTTGAATTGAAAACATAAACTTTTTGAAAATATTTTTTCTACATAAAGATGAATAAATATGTAAAACCAATTTGGCTTTTTGTGAGATACAAAAACTTGCCAAAACCAAAGGAAGTAAAAAACTATGTAAAAGCACTAAGCGAATATTGTAAAAATAACAAACTAAAAAAATAAATGGTAAGGACTTTGTTTTACTTGCAGAGAAAAACTAAAAACACTGAGGATGCAATTGCAGCAAGTTTGATATCGCAAATTGAAATGTAAAAGGGCGTAACAACACTTTTCCAAAATTTACTGAATAGACGAAAAATTTAAAAATGTGAACTTTTGTTATTGTAATTGATTTGTGTTACATTCAAATTCCAAATTCCAAACTAACTAATTTGTTGCTACGCTGTTTCGCATTCCGGCGATGTACATAAATATGTTTTAGGAGGTGGTAAGGGTTAGCTTGATAAACATTCATTTTGAAGTGTGTTGAATTTTGATACGTGTATTTAAAAAATAAAAATACACACTTTGCTCGCAGAAAAAAGTTGACATCATTTAACATTAAAATGAGTTCAAGCTTTTTTCTGAAACGTTCAGCCAAGAATAAAATAAGGCTTCAGTTGGATATAACTTCTTCTTTCACTCGTTTATACATGCATAATTAAAATGCATGATATGCAGTGAATAAGCCACAAAGATACTGATACTTATATGTACATATATACATATTAGGGTGATAACCAAAAACCTTGCGCCGCAAATCGATTTTCTAAAACCATTCACAAACTAATTTTTATGAATTTTTAATAGTAAAATCTACAAGTAAATGCAGACACTATCCTAGTGTTTACTCAGTGTTAATGTCATGGGTCAAACAATGACACTTTAAAGCATTTGCCGCTTTTTTGTCGTACTTTTTTACACTCAATGTGGAATGGATAGGAGTGTTTTAAAATTTTCAAAAAATGTATAAAAGTTATGACCCTAATACATATACATATGTATGAATTTATTATTGCAAACACAAAACTACTTCCGTAAAGCAAACCGTAAAATATTTTAGCAAATTTTATAATATCACTCCCAAGATATTTGGATCTAATTTCTGGCTGGCTTTAAAAAAGAAAAAAATATTTTCAGCCGAAATATGATAAACTATTCAATCATCATAAAACCAAGTCATCATTTAGAAGATACTGTGTGTATTTCTTATTAAACAAGTTAAAACTTATATACTTCTTAACATACATACATCATGGTGTAGCTTGAAAAACATTAAACGGAAATTAAATGTAGTTTTGCAATTTCATATTTAAAATTCCTATAAAAATAATTATTCATCATCCTCATGACCAGAGAAAATAAACGAACTATAAATTACCACTGCAAACCGACTATGTATAGATGCATAAGAATTATTAACGTTAAATGATGAAGGGAGAATGAAGAAACAGATTTTAATTGAAATCGTATAAAATGATTTGCACAATATACATATTTACATACATACATAAGTAAAAGAATTTTTATATTTTTTGCTCTATTAAATTACTTAAGCAAATTTTTGAATTTATATTAAAACAAACAGGATATTTGATTTTTAAACCTTAGTCGAAAAATTGAGCAAACTGGAGAATTTTAAATAGATAATTGAAAGTTGATTCAGGACTTCTTATTGTGGTCTTAATTAAGGGGGATAAAAGTCACCATTAATACCAACGCAAATATCTCGCTTATTTCGCATCGTACGAATTTCGATACATTTCTATAGACAATAATATTTCCTATTCATCAAAAATTCCGCAGTAAAATCCTGATTTTTCTGGACTATATATATTTAATTCAGTATTTTTGAGGCAACAAGGAAAAAGTTGATAATTTTTTTGCTTGTTTCAGAAGAAAGGGGCAAAATTTTGTCTTGTTCCTATAAATACTATTTTAAAAGGCAAAATATCTACCGGTTAACCGATAACTTGAGATTAAAATTGTGGCATTTAAAGTTTTAAATTCTAATACAAAATTGTAGTACATTTAAAAATGAATTTTAAATGTACTAGTTAAGGACAAAGAATTTGCGCCAATTTTATTAAATTTTTAAATTTTTTATAAACAGAATGAATTTTTGAATAATAAGTACTATTATTTATGCAAAATTATAGTACATTTGAAAATGTTGATATTTTCTAAAGTTCCGATCCGATTTTTAATTGAAAAGTGTCAAATTTGAAAAGTATTATTATCAGTTTCTACACTTTACTGGCATTTTTTTGTGGTTCTCAATGAATTGTGAGAACTTCTTGACGTCAAAAGTACCCAAAATTTTTCTAAAAAAATTATTTTTTTTTGAGAAAAATGTTTTAAATGTCCTAGTTAAAGACAAACTATTTGCGGAATTTTTTTAAATTTTTAAAATTTTTTATAAACAGAATAAATTTGAAAGTTGTAATAAGTATTGATGCATTTTATTAATAGTAAACCGATAAATATAATGTATTTACTGGTATGGGTATTATTCGTATGTAGTGTTTTCTAGGCCACTGACACTTCGAAATTTTCTCCAAAAAATGCTTAGAACAGGGATTTTTTAGTAAAATCATAATATTAGTTACGGGTGTAAAAATTATAGTCCTTTAGTTTTTAATTAGTAAATATGGGTGTGTCAAATTATGAATTAAATATTTAAGAAAAAATCAAGTCAGACTACTTTTGATTTTAAGAAAATTTCACAAACATCAAGTCAGACTGCTTTTAATTTTAAAAATATTTCACATTCTATTCTTCGATTTAATTGCGAAGTCAACATTTTACTTGACTCTTTTTTGCTCTTAATCCATTCTGTTTTTTTTTTAATTGTTTATATAGTATTTTTATTTGTATAATTTTTTAGTCTTAAATAAATACATATAGTACTTAGTAAGTTTTACGGTAAGCTTCATTTATTTTTGTTTTATTTTGTCAACATGCTAAACTTTGTAATAAAGAAAAATAGACACCCCGAAAAAGCAACAAAGTTGTTTTCATTTTCTATTTGTTTTGTTGTTAAGGGTTTTAACATGGCCCAAACAAAAAACACAAAAGTAGGAATAAAATTGTACTCCATCTAACGCATATTTTATCACACAGTCGCATACGCACACAAATACACAGTTACGGTATATAAATTTACACATATACACACATATTTAGTTAAATAATGGTTTTCTAAATATATACATACACACATATCCACACTGAAGTGAACTTTTTCTTTTTCCAAAGTGTTTGTTTTATGGGGTTGAAAACAAAAAAAAAAATAAATAAGAACACTCCTTTATGTATGTGTGTATGTATTTAAAAACAAAAAAATATATATTTTTATGACAAATTTAAATAATAAATTCATTTAATACTTTGCAATTATACATATAATATTTTATAATTATTTTTTCACTTTATTAACATTTGGCACCATTTTAGTTTTTTTTCTGTATTTCTTTTTTTTTTAATTACTCACTCTGCAATGCTTTTAGACAACGGCCATCTTTCCATATTGGCCTGATATTTCATGTTTTCGATTTGTTTCTTTAATGCGTCCCGATCCATGTTTTGTAAAGCACTGGGATCCATGGCGGCTAAAATTTATCAACATACCACTCCTGCAAAGAAAAAATACACACACATTATATAAATAAAGCTTTTATGGCTCTCGTGTGTCCTTTTCCAAATGAGCAGAGAGAGGCAGGGATATAAAGAGAGTTTTTTTAACTCAAGTTTGCATTATAATACACATGAAGTATGTATAAAAACTTTTACATCACCGGAGAACTGGTCTCCTGGCCAGCAAGAAAACAGAGATTAATTCTCAGAATGACGAACATTTTCCCGGTTATTTTTGCTATAATCACACCTTAAATGGTAAAGGGTCTTAAAAAAGCAGTTTCATGAATGTTTAGATTCTACGTTTATTATTACATGAAGAAACAGGACTTCTAAAACTAACATATTTTATAGAAATTAAATATTTTGATTTTATGCATGTATTTCAAATTCTATAGTTCATAATCAAAAAAAAAAAATATGTTGCATTTAAATATACACACATACATATGTACATATATTTGGCTCATGTCCTCATTTTATGTTGCTATAAAACACATTATTGCCGTACTCTGCACAGATGTCTCTCAAAAAAAGTCATAAAAACCTCCCCCACGCGCACTGACTCGAATTCAATTTAAAGTCCTTTAAAGTTATTTATTCTGCAATTAATGTATTGTATGGAACACAGCTTTTAAAGCTTGTGTTCCACACAACATATTATGTACTTAAAAGCTCTGGACGTAGAACTAAATATAATATTTTTAAAATGTAATTTTAAATATTTAATAAACGTTGTATGTATTACATATAAGAGACAATGTCAGAACCCTATTACAAATTTTTTCAAAGCTTTCAAGTTTTTACATTCATGAATGTTAGCCAAGCTATAAACCTATTTGTCCTTATTAAGGATTTTTTGTATATATAAGAAATATAAAAGCATTAATAAAATATTGGCTAACTTTTTAGATGTCAATAAGTCAACTCATCATTAATTTTTCATATTCTTATTAAAATATAACTTTATGTTTAATTTTCTAAGGGAAACAATTTATTTCTTCCTTATTTGCATAAAATGTCAATAAATATAAAAAAAATACTGATATACAGAACATTCGTTAAAAGAACGGTTAATTCAATTTTAATGATCAAAAACTAAATTTCACAGAGCACTCCTCATTTCTCATAGAATATCGATATTGTTGTTTTTTATATTTGGTGCAGAATTACAAAAAAATATTACTTTTTAATTAATACGAATACATATTAAGATATGTATGTATATGATTGTACTTAACACAATAATCTATGTATGTAAAATTGTATCTTTTAAATTGGAATGTGGTGAATCTATTTGTCGAATACTTAGTAATACATATGTAAATACATCGCAAAATCCAAATTTCTTTAAAAATAAATACTAAAGAAATATGTAGTTACTACTTATTTATGAAATTTAATATTTAGAACTTTAAAATGCTATCCCGATATGCTTGTAACGGAAACTTAAATTTGTATGTAGACGGAAGTGCAGCGTTATGGAATGGTATTGATAAAAACGTTGCAAACACTTTTCAACTAATGCAATAATAGTCAAATACTTATAAACATTCATTTGAATAAGAAAAGATTCAACAATTTATTCATCATATATTTAGGTTTTTGCGCAATAAAAAATGAATTCGGTGCATAATTGGAATATGAAAGGATTGCTCCATAATTAAGTATATATAAATATGGCTTCTTCCACAAATTCACTTCAAATTTACGACACATGTTTAGATGGGTTACGGCATAATCGAATAAATAAAACACGCTTACCACCCATTTTCTTCACCTCCAGTTGACCGGTAGTTATTCTTCCAGTTAAAATATTTTTGTATGAAAATTCTCAAGATAAATATGTATCTTAAAGTTAAAAAAACTAGACATATGAACTAAGAATTTGCTATTACAATAAGTCTTAGTTTATTATTATTTTGCCTTATTGTTTCTTGAAGCCAATACACAAATCTTTAGATGATATAAAACAATTTAGGTAGATATTTGAAGGCCTGATGCGACGAAGAAATTGACAGATTCGAAATTAGCGCAGCTCAATTTTTTAAAAAAGTATAATTCAGTCTTTGAGTTTCGAAAGTTGGGTCACTTGACATAAAATCCCCCGTATGTAATAAACGTATGACCAATTTGTACATATTTGTTAAACGTAAAAAGAAAAACTACATTGAATGTTTTATGATAATTTACCATTTCTTAAATAACATTTTCTTATCAAATATTCGTGAAAACATTAGTTTTAGTTTTGATGTTTACAAGTACTCAGTTCAAAAAAACATGAATTTTGAGTTATGCAAGTCTTGTAGTAAATGAGCGATAAATATTTCAGTGTTAAACAGAAAGAAGCCCTACAAGAGTTTTGTTTTCATTTTTAAAATTCATTTAATGTAGAACTGTGCTTCCTCTTACTGGCTTCATTAAAAGGGAATGAATCTCAAATTAACAACATAGATTAATCGGGGTTTAATAGAATTATGTATGATTTAATCGAATTTTATCTAATATTCATTATAACTAGTGGCATAACGTTTAAGGGTTTGCTTCGATGCTTAAGCATGACTTTCGTATACTTGGGAATGCTTCCCTAGTTTAAACTACATACATACAAACATACATAATATGTACATATATATATATTTCATTCGATTATACTATAACAATCAATGTTCTTTTGAATTTCTTTTATAATTTTTTCATGCTTGCTTATACAATTCAAATGCTTTTCCTCTGCCATTGCTCCTGTTGTCATTCGTGGCGTTTTTATTGTCGTTTTGTACGGTTTGTGAACATCAAAAAGGTGAAAAGTGTCAGCAAATTTTCTATTATCCAAGAGAAGAACATAATTAAATTATATGTTTTTGGTTCACACCAACTAAACTAAAAATGTTAACAAGTTAAATAGAATGAAAAAATGCAAAAACATATACATGTTATATGTATGTTGTAGAATTTGCTAACAAGACTGAATATTCAATTCAAATTAAAAAAAAAAATGTTTTTTATAGAAAAATGGATAAAGCTGTTTCATTTAAATCATATTAAAAACTTATAAAAGGTTGGCACTTATTATACAACAATATATTAAGTTTATTAAAATATATAACGTCTCTTTTACAACATTTTAAACTATGTTTCTGTTTTGGAGAAAGTATTTAGTATTCTTGCCAAAAAAAAAAACTATGATAATTACGTAGAATTGAAGTATGGATGCAAATAAGGGCGCAAAGACCACTTTTCCCAAAACATGATTAAATATTTACACTTTTAAAATTTATGAATTATTTGATTGGTTTGCAAAAAGCTATTATTCTTACATTAATTTAAATATGGACAACAAAGAGGGCGTATATCCATAATAATACGAATAAATATATTAACAAGGCAATTTTTGAGTTTTTTATTAGTTTTAAGTGGAGAAGTTTCTGGTTAGTACAAGTAATTATTGTTATACTAATTACTGTAAATTACATAATCCACTTTAAAGAAAAAAGATATAAATTAAAAGTTTTGTGATGTTTTTATCGTCTCCTGTAAAATTTTCCAAATGGTTTATACGCCCGTATTCATGGGCGTATTATTATAAAAAAATAAACTTTTTTTAGTGAACTTTAAAATGATCAACCTTCAAGTTCAGAAAAATAAACAAAATTATTAGCAGATCACTCAGAAAATGTGGTATTAACTTTCTTAAATTTATTTAATGTTTTTTTTTTCTAAAGAGAAATGTGAAATTTTAAAATACATACATACCAAACTAAAATATTTGATTATTTCTGTTTCCTTTAAAAAAAGGCGCCAAGTAAATCCAAGTAAAGTTTCACAATGATAAAGACTTAACACCTAGAATAAACACACGACTATTCTCATTATACAATTATATGAATCAGTAGGTTGCTGTTTAATTTTTATTTATTTATTTGAATTAATATATTTTTTATTCGAAATTTTCTTTTGCATAACACAAGTTTACGCACCTGCTACACAAAGTAAGAAATGAATAGCAATCGTGAACCAACAAACTGTTTAACAATATTAGCAATTAAAAATATTCAACCGACCAACTATCACAATTACCGAAACACGACTATCTTCCAACAACGACTAACGATGGTATCAAAGACATTCGTAGTTATTCTTACCACCTATCCACATGTAAACTATTTTATGTAGATGTCGTTACGAATGAAAGTTTATATTTTTATACACTTTATCCCAATGTTAGTGGCATATATAGGTTAGTCATCCCGTTTGTAATTTTTTCATATTTATTTTCATTTTGCAAATAGGGAGTTTAATAAAAATTGTTCTTAATTATTTTTCTATGAGTTTAATAAAAACGAAATTAAATTAAAATATCAGATAATATGTACGTCAGCCTTACATATTTTTAAGTAATGCAGATGGTATAAAGTGGTCAATGGAAAACAAATTAAACAGTAAATCATAATTAGTCATTGTTAATTGATCAACAATTTTTTGTTTCAAATTTAATAAACAATTTGCATATTTTAAATATGGTATGTATGTATGTTCATAAATAAGCCATAAATGCCATTATAGTCATATTTATAATATACATAATAACTTTGTTTAATATGTTTCATAAAATTAAAAAAAATATATATTAATAAAGATATTGGAGCGTGTAATCGGTTATCTACAATTGCTTTTGAGACCCGACAATTCGGCGCAAACCGATTATTACTTTTCTTTCGTTTCTTAAATAAATATGTATATTTCGTTTAATATGTAGATATGTATGTTGTATATTAACCGTCAACACCAAGAGAATGTGCATAACATAAGGTAAAGTAAATAGGGATACTATGATATGGGTGATTTCAAAGAAATATATTTAGAATAGAACATTATGCATTCACTTTTTTGTAGCAAATAAAAATGTGGCAAATAGTATGCTGAACTATCCGTAAAGTATACAATTAGATGGCTTAGATACTTGCTTTAGGATGACTTTATAATGAAATGAATTCCAATGTACACACTATAATTTACTTCAAAATTATGGCATACGATTGGTCAACGTCTTTAATCTGGATACTGCTAACTTCAAGGTTCAAATTGTCACTTCAAGTGTTAACAATCAGAGGAGATATGAGGTCGTTTTTGTATTTCCATTACTTATCTTTCTCTGATGGATGTATCTATTTTTCATTATTGCTTTTACAAAGGTTGTAAAAAGTAGTAATCGTACATATTTATTTACGTATGTTTTTTTTTGTCTAATATAATTGTTCATTTTGCAGTAACCTTTGCTTCTTTTTATTTTTTATTTTCTTGTTTGCATTTTATGTTGTAGTAAAATCTACAAGATATTGTTGCAGTATATTCTTTGATGAACACAACAAACAAGCAACAGCTTTCCATGATCAGCGTATTCAGCCTTTTGGTATCTTCTAAAATTTTTGATGGCAAAAAAAATTTTAACCCTGAAAGGGTTAAGTTTTGATACATATGTATGTACATATGAATATGTTTGTAAATGTGTTTAAAGTTTGTAAATGAACAAAATGTATATATTTTATTTTTCATTAACTTGTAAAGTACAATTACGGATATAAATTGGATTTTGCTTTAAGATTAATGTGTATGTAAAGAAATATCGTATAATAAAATTATTAATTATTTTAAATAACCATATAATGAGATTTTCCACTTCCTACTTGGGACTTTGACGCCATTACATTATTTTTGCTGGATAGAAGCCGACAATCCCTAAGCAATTCAACAAAAGATTGAATAAAAATTACGACCATAAGTCCGAAATCACATTCTAATACAAATACCCAGAAATAATTTGTTTAAAGATATTTATGTTGATATAAAATTAAATGACTATACCTTTAATAATGCTCAATATTAAATATTTTAATATAAAAAAGCGTTATTTAAATATTTTTTTTATAAATGTTATGCATATATTTTACTGATTCTACTATTCACATGTCAATCTGCTCAACTAGTTATTTTGTAATGATGTATGTATGTGACGAATGTTCATTTCATTTATTTTATAATACATATCAACGAAAAACAATAACGCAAGGATATCTACAATGAAAATATAGTCGCTTACATTACTAACTGCTATAACTGATATTTTTCCTATGACCCTCAAAAAAATATAAGAAGAAAAACTATTTGGGTTTATACGAAAAATTATGTTATATTATGTCAAAGTTAACAGCTCATCATTAAGAGTATTGAAAGCTTTCTATTCTGTAGAAGGCGTTATAATTGTATTAATAGATAAATAGATTAAAACGATTAATAGAGCAAAACAATTTATGTTAATCTTGAAGTGAAAAAGATATCAGAATAAGGTTTATATTTGGTGTGTGTGTTTTTTATTTTAATTTTTATTTCGGCACTTAGGTGTGTAAGCAACGATATGTAGATACATATGTATTGTATGTAGGTACGTATTGACGTGAAACTAAAGTCACATTGATTTTATCTACATTTTCTTATTGATGAAATGACACCTATATGAACAATTCTATTTGTTTCTGGAGGTATGCGTACAAATGTCAGAATATTACAAGTATGTAGTATGTATGTTGATTTCTTGTTGTGTTCGAAATTTTATGTTGAGTCTAAAGTCAAAATGTCTAAATTGTCATCAGTTTTAAATAGGAATCCTTATTCATATGTATAGGTATTTAGGTTTCAATTTGATCCTATTAGTGTTTATAAGTTAGGATGGACCCAAAATCGAAGTTGCTGATGTTCTCACACAAATGAAAAATTGTTTCATTATAAGATACTGTTTTTTAAAAAGTTTGCCCTGGCCCAATATTTGGTGAACTGAATTAAAGGATATAAAGGTCCTTTTTTAAGTTTTTATGTTTTTTATATATTTGCAAAAAAAACTATGTATATATTTGCAACAAAACTAATTTTCTATCCGAGTATGCGTTAGCTATTTTATTAAGAAGTACATAATATGTTGATCAATATACAGTGATGTTCGATGAAATAGAGCCACCATCACGTTCAAAGTTTCTCTCCACTTAAAATCTCTCCTACAAAGAATAAAGTTGAAAAACTAACTGATTTGTTATGAATGTAATAGCATTATTTTTGCAATAATTTACGCGTCGCTATTCGTAATTTTAATGAAATTTTAAATTAAGCTATATAAAATGGTATAACAAAAAATAGAGCCAGTTTGCAAAAATATAAAAATTTAACAATTTGTAGACAATTTTCAAATTGAAATAGATCCAAATAGTAAATTTAATGCATTTTATTATTATTTTAAAAGAATCTCATTAAAAAATTATAATTTTGAGTACAAAAGAGGCAGAGGCAAACATTGAAGGCGATACAGCAGAAAAACGATAAAAACACTCCTTGATCTAGGAAAGGGCTATAGACAAACTGTTGAAATAATTAGGTGCTCCAAAAGCGAAAAAATCAGACTCATGCAGAGGATGACACTTTTGTGTGCTCCGTATAACCTTAAAAGGGAATATAATTTAGATGTTGCCAGCTTAATAGTAAGACCTCTCATGTATAAAAATAATTAAAAGGATAAAATTAGTAGAAAAGTATTATATGGTACTTTAAAGATCCTGAAAGAAAAAATAAAATTTTTCAAAAACCTTTGAAATCTCCCCTTGAGCAGGAATCGAAATATTTGGTGGTCAGATGTAAAAAAAGTATATTTATTTTATTCTGATATGATCCGTATAGCTATACGTAGACGTTCCAACACTGGATTTTGTCCCCAATGTGCTATGAAGATCATTGAACATGGTGGCGGATACGTAATGGTATGGGGTTATTTTTTCTTGTTTGGAACATGGTCTCTATTTCGGATTGAGGGAAGATAGGACTGTAAATATCCCATAATTATAATTAATGATGCTATGCTGAATGAGAAATATCACTTTTTAAGGAGATTCCTACAATTGTGTCCTCAAAAGCGCAATTTTTTTACATGACTCCATATTTCTTGCTCCAAAAAGAAGTGTTATTTCTTATTCTTTCTTGATATTTTCTGGTTTAAACTTACGCATTTGTACAGTTTATACTATTTTTTGGACCAAAGAATTATTTCAACAATTTTTCTTGAACATGGCGTATTTTTATAATTTTTCTGCGGTCTCGCCTGCAAAGTTTGCTTCTGCTTCTTTTTGGACTCAAAATTATTGTTTATAATGAGATTATATTAGGATTGTAATAATAAGCCTTAAACTAACAATTTGTATCGATTTCAATTTGAAAATTGTCTACAAATTGTTAAATTTTTATATTTTTGCAAACTGGCTCTATTTTTTGTCACACCATTTTATATAGCTTAAATTAAAATTACGAAAAGTGACGCGTAAATTATTGCAAAAATAATGGTATTATATTCATAACTGATCAATACAAAATTTCAGTTAGTTTTTCCAACTCAATTCTTCATTGGAGGGATTTTAAGTAAAAAGAAACTTCGAAAGTAGAGGTGGCTCTATTTTTCGGAACATCACTGTACTACATGTAATTGCATAAACTTTTCATTGATATACACTTTATGATATATTGAAGAAATATTTCGGTTTCATTTCACAATTTCAAGTAAACAAATTCCTTTTAAAAACTATTTTGAATGTTGTTTACATTATTAAGGCATGATTTGGGATGAACGTTGGTTTCTAAAAAATCAAATAAAATTTGATCTAGATTACCATTTTTTTTCTCAAAAGAAAGCTTATACAATTTCCTTTAAGGGCTTTATAGTCTCATAATGACCGCTCTAAATTTGAGGACTCTTGCTGCTATAATTTCCTAGATATACGTATTTTAGTATTTGAGTCGCTTTTAGATCCTTCCTTCCCTAGGAGTTACGTATTAACTACCAGATTTTTGCGATTTTTTTTTAATTGAAAATTAAGCAAAATGCTGTGATAGTTCATTTTTGGTCACTGTTCGATATGATCAAATTAAAATAACTTTAAAACCGCCATTTCAAAAAATGGTTCACAGTGGAGCGTAAAAACAAGAAATTTTGTGGATTTAATTTGGGAGGTCAATTAAAGGCGAGAGCATAAAATAATGTTTAAAACTCGTATTATGTAACAAATTTTATTTCATTTTAAAAAATTTATGAAAATTACAAAAATGTTTTCATTCTTTGAGAAGGA